TTCTCTTCTTTTTGTCAATCTTCTCTTTTACTCACCCCCTTTCCTTTATCTTTTTTTCTTTTTTATCTTTTATCCCTGCTTGCTCTTCACTCTTCTTGTCCTTTTAGTCCTTTACCAAAGGGCACTTCAACACTTTAGGTCAGAGGCACAGTAACTTAAAGAGCAAGAGGAAGTGAAAGTGAAAGGAATAAGTAGGGTAAGGAAACAGACAAAACAAAAACACTCATGAAGAAGAAAAGCAGAAAAATCCTAGCCACATGAAAAACCAGACCTAAGCAACCCCCCACCCACCCAAGAAATCATGAAGTAGCTACTGCAGAGGATTCCACCTATACAGAAATGTTAGAAATGACAGAAGAGGAATTTGAAATATGGGTGGTAAAAACAATGAAGCAAATTGCTGAGAAAGTAGAAAATAACCAAAGGGAAATCCAAAAACAGAATCAAATAAGAGATGAATGATATGAAGAATACAGAAAGGATATAGCGGAGCATAAAGAATTGAAGCAGTCCATCAGGGAACTTAAAGATATAATAGAAAGTATCAATAACAAATTAGACCATGCAGAAGAATGAATCTCAGAGGTGGAGGATAAAGCTTTTTAGCTAACTCAGGCAGTTAAAGAGACAGAAAAAAAAGAGAGAAAGGAGAATGTTCACTGACAGAATTATGGGACTTCATGAAGTGTTCAAACATACAAGTTAAAGATATCCCAAAAGGGGAAGAAGAGTGCCCCAGAGGAATAGAAGCCCTAAAAATTTCATAAATGAAATTTTCCCAAATATCATCAAAGATTCTGACACACTCCTTTCAGAGGGATATCTAGGCCCTAGGCCATCTCAGCTGAAATAGAGATTCTCCAAGACACGTTGTGATGAACCTGTCCAAAGTTAAGACAAAAGAGAAAATTCTGCAAGTTGCCAGGAGTAAGTGTCAATTGACCTACATGGGCAAATCCATCAGGGTGACTGTGCACTTCTTAAATAAAACTTTTCAAGTCAGAAGATAATGGTCACCCACCTTTAACCTACTTAAACAAAAACAATTTTCAGCCCAGAATTCTATATCCTGCTAGATAGAGAAATCAAATCTTTTAGTGATATAGAAACATAGAGAAAGTTTGCCAGAACAAGACCAGCTCTATAGGAAATACTTAGACCTATTCTACATACTGAGCATCACAATGGACTACCAGGAAAGTAAACATCCACAACCTAAAGGACAAAACCTAGCTTCCACAATATAAGATGAATAGAACTCCATTACACTTATCATTTGTCTCAATAAATGTTAATGGCTTGAATTCTCCACTGAAAAGGCATAGGCTGGCTGATTGGATAAAGAAAGCACAAGTTATCCATTTGCTGTCTGCAGGAAACACACATAGCCTTGAAAGACAAATTAAAACTCAGGGTTAAGGGATGGAAGACAATTTTTCAAGCAAATGGATATCTGAAGAAAAGAGGGTGTTTTTTTTTTTTTGAGACAGAGCCTCAAGCTATCCCCCTGGGCAGAGTGCTGTGGCACCACAGCTCACAGCAACCTCCAACTCATGAGCTCAAGTGAGTCTCCTGCCTC